TGAGAGCTATATTAGATTCTGAAAAATAAATAATTCAGAAGGTTATTAAGGTTGTACATTCCAGCATGCGTAAGTTTGGAGGTACTAGGCAACTGGTTCCTTTTCAAATCTGAGCACAGCTATTTGTATGTATATCCATAATGAGAAAATAAGTCTTAAATTTCATGAAACAAATTATCATGAAATTCCATCAAGCAAGAAAGACTCCTTGAGCTGGAGTCTCAGGGACCTGGGTACATAGCGCAGGCTTCTACCACTGGCTGTGATGAGACGTCTGGCAACAATAAGCAGACTGTTGTCATCACAGGGGATCAAGCGCTTGAAGCAGGGAGGGTTTCACTGTCTCCCTGTTCTCTGGTTCAGTGCTTAACACCATAATTGCCTCTACATTCGCTTCCTCCAGCTGCCAGGCTAAGTCCTGTGCGGTCCCCATAGTGCAGTGCTGCAGCATGCTCAGCACAGACAACTTCTGGACTGAATCCAGAGAACTTTTGTTTCATTTGTAAGTGAGCATTAGAGTAACCAAATAGCATAGTTAGGCTTGACACCATTGTGAGTATTTGCCTCCTGCCCTACCATGCCAGACCCGTCTGCAGATTCCCACTAACAGACTTCATTGTGACTCAAGCTGTCGCTGCCAACTGCTTGAAGAGTGATGGTCAGCCAGGTCAAAGCTGTAATTGCCAATATAAACTGGCTGGACATCTCTGAAGCTGGTTTAATTTTTTTTACAGGTGTTGATTTGTAAGGTAGGACTTGCCTCTCAGCTGAACCACAAAGTCTGTCGGTGCACCAGAGACCATGGCCATCACACACCTCACCCCTGGGGATGCCAAACTGGAATGAAGGAAAAGCCATTAAATAGAAAGCACACGTGGAGCACAGAGATTTCCCTAGATTGCTCCTGTAAATTCTGCAGGTTTGGTAGAAGGCCCCAGCCTTGCACAGCCCTCCAAGGCTGGTGGCAGAACCCACCTGGAGCACTCAGAGACCCCACTCCAACGCGCAGCCATGGGGGCCTTTTCAGAAACCTCTCCTGGGTGTTCCAATAGCTGGAAGAGACTGACCTCCGATGTCACAGCAAATCTCGGCCAATTTTTAAACAAAGAGCAAACAAACCTTTCTGATTAGATCATTTTAATATTTTGCTTCTCGTGAGGAAAAGCTGATCTCCTTTCCTCTGTACTTTGATATAGATTTCTGTAATCTTGGATGCAGCTGAACTGTTTTCTTTTTGAAAATTCCCTAAAACGTTTAGCCTGAAAGCAAATATTTGCCTAAAAAGTTTTAGTTTGAACAATTAAAAACTTGGCAAGTGAAAATGCCAAACGCTGGACTACCTTAAGAAGGAGCAGTGCTACCAACTCCATCTGTACCAGACACTTGCATAACATTTTATGAAACCCTTTAGGACAAAAAAAAATTTGCACTTTCTCTGCTGACATACTAATAATTTTGTATATGAGAGTGCTACAGATCTTCTAAGTCAGACATTACTGATAAAAAGCAAACGAGGAACAAAAAAGATCATAGCACTGCTTCCCAAACATCGTAATATATTTGATGCATAAAATCAGAGAACAAAATGCCTCTGAGAAAAATGGAAGTGCAGTCTATTTTTTAAAGAACAGCTTACAGAATAAAATAAAAAGGCTCTTTGTTTCTTAAAACAATTTCATGAAAAAAAAACCATGGAATTACTTACAATGATTGTTTAACTTTTTTTTTTTTTTTTTTAGCACTTTTTTTGACTTTTCTAAGTGAAGAACCAGATATTGAAAGAAATATCAGACTGCTACACATGTGGGTCGCTCCGAAAGTAATGCCTCCTATTCATTTCCACGGATACTACAACAGATACAAAGCACACAATATTTGATATAACAAATTCTCAGTTGAATGACAAACCTCTCCATGTGCACTTCTGTTCAGATGCTCTTCTGACAGACTGTCCCTCTGTTGCCATCTATCACATGGCAACAACATACAACAGAATATTGGTGGAAGGTTCAACCTCTACTGCCATCCCACCAACATCTGCCTCTGCCATCTTGGGCCAACATCATAAATAGGAGGCATTACTTCTGGAGCAACCCTCATACATAGATAACTTTTAACACATCAGTGGGAGTTTTTACATTGTCTCAGCTTACTCATAAATGGACTCTAAGCCACTCGCTAATCTTTTCCTTAAGGCGTTCAGTAGTAACTCATTCACAGGTAATATACAGAAACAATGTATTGTTTCTGCTGCCTCTAAACAACCACTTGGTGGACAAAATGAGTCAAAGCCCACCCCAAGCCCTCAAGAAGAAAAAACAAACAAAAAAAAAAAGAACGTACAGAGAAAGAACAAGAGATAGAAGGGATAGGACTTCTAACCCAGCCCTCTTGCCAGAATTATAGGCTCTCTTTCAAAACAGCTTAGATAAATACGTCCATCAAAAGCTTGAATGTCTTGTTGATCCTGCCTTAGGACAGGGGGAGGATTAGTGAACCCCCTGAGGTTCGTCTTCCATCAGAACTGTCTATAGTGCCATGCTTATGAAACATTAGGGATTACCTTGGCAATAAGACCGTCTTCTGTTAAAACAAGACCTTAAAGAGATAAATTAATGACTACGACTAATTGGATCAGCAAAGAATGGGTCATGTCCTGTACTGAGGTCAATCAAGTTCTGCTCCTGTTTGGACAACGCAAATCAACATCACACTGCACTGCAGCTACCTCCTGACTATACAAACTGAAAAGTTGCAGCCCGCATGGTGCTTGGTAGCTTGATCCTTCAAAGGTCATCACCTAACATGATAAACACCAGCACTGAGGACAGGACCGAGCTGCTTCTGGTGCGCAGAACACTGTTCTTGAGATAAGCACAATGAATTCCTGCACTTGTGGGTTAGAAATATCAGCAAGCAGCCTGATGTACTGTGACAGTACGGGAGGTGACCTTTCCCCCGGCTCGCTCCTCTCATCATCTGCGTGTTGATACAGCAGCATCTGACTGCAGACTGAAAAGGAAACAGCACCTACGCCACATGGCAGCAGCCACGCAGCCTACACGCTGAATGAGCTGTGTGAGAAGCACCCACAGCAGAGGCCCTGCAGCTTCACCGCCAACATTGGATGAGCTGCAACTCAAGTCCATCTCCGCTGCTGTGCCCCAGAATCTGTGCACGTACTCAGCGGAGCTCTGCAGGCCTGGCCCACTCTGAAAGAGAGCAAAAGCCAGACTGCACAGCAAGACAGAGTGCTGGGGTGACACGGCAGGGCTGGTAGCTGGGGCTGCGGGATCCCATGTCACACCAGAGCCAGCTCCGGCTGGCATCACAGCACGCATCACCTCAAGGGCCCATTCCAGAGTGAAGCTCTCTGGTTGCAAAGAGGCTCATTAGCATTTGGCAGATGTAGGCTCATAGCACGGTTCTGGATGGCTGTCAGGAGTTGATCGTAGTGCTCCTTTATCCCAAGGCAGGCTCTGCTGGCCCAAGGAATGCTTCGGTAAGGGCCCAAACAAAACAAACCTTGCTACTGTGGTACTACTTCCACTGCTTTCAGAAAACCAGAGCCTCAGTAGGCTTTTTATTTCCTATAGCCACCTGACTGCATTTAGCCTGCCTTAGTGAACTAATTTTCAATCAACTTTAAAATGAATGCCAAATGCAGTGCCCATAATTAAAAATAAATCGAGTTAATCCTTTGTGACAATCTGAGTCCAAAATTATGCTTTTAAATTATTTGGACAATCATTTAGAAGGAAAAAAAAAAAAATCTCTTTCCCAAGTCTGATTACATCAATGCTTTACAGAAACATTTCTTCCTTGGGTCTCTGATTTCCCTAGTGGCAGCGATGTAAACCCTGAACTTCTTAAATGTCACTTAATTTATATGATTTTTCTGTTTACCCTTTTAAAATGACAAGTTGGTCTGTAGTATTTATGTCTGCTTGAAAATTACATAGCATGGGCGATCCAGTGCTGCAGCAGCATTTGTTAGCTTTCGCTTAGTAAGCACTTATCATAAAAAGAGAAAATAAAAATACACCTACTCTTACTTTTCCACCCTTCTCCTTTGTTGCAATATCCATCAATTAAAAAAAAAATTACTCAACTTTCCACATGTTGATTCTCAGCAGAATAAGAAGCTTAAATTGATTTTTACTCTGCCTTCGACGAGCAAATGCAGAAGTTACCAGCCTGTTTAGCTCTACATTGCTGACATGGGTTAATTAATTTCACTACTGCTTGTGGTCCCCAGTGAACTCTCCTCATGTGGCATCACCTCGTGGTGGGCAGCGGTTCACAAACACTATAAGCTTTTCAGTAGACCTGGTGACAGTAATGAAATTAAATTGACCTGAGCTACATTTGGTCTCTGAATTAAGATGGTGAGATCTGTAGCCGTCCATTTTGGGTGGAGAAGCACAGCCCAGCTCCTCAGATCCTGTGGAATTTTAAACAAGCTCTTTTTCACATAGCAATTTTACAGGCTTTCCAAAAGGCCATCCCCATTAACAAGGGAAAGGCGAGACAAGTTTATCATACTAAACAGATGCACATGAGCCACCTCTGTGTTTATAAGCTCTGCTTATTTTATATCAGTGAAAAAACACGATTCTCAAAATTAATCTATTTGGCAAAGTATTTTGTAAAAACTATATGCCCACATTCTACCTGAGCATGGCAGTTCCATCCTTAAGTCAGGAAGAGAATTTATCACAGTAAAATCTAGAAATATCTTCTTAATCTTCCCTGAGGAGATGAGGCTTGTGTCATCATACTGTCTGTACATTTCTAATAGCTTGGGAGTCTAATAGAACTAATTTCAGTATTTTAACTGAATTTATGGGATGACAGAGATTTCAGACGCGGGCATTCCCAAAAGTCCGGGAAAGAAGGAACTGAAAAGACTCAGAAAACCTCTTTGTAGGGAAAGGCTGCCTTGGAGCACAGTACGAGATGCTGAAAGATCCATATAGGCAAACACCACAGAACTCATGTATTTCATAAGGGAAGTTTCTGATGAACTATATTTTTCAGCACACCCACACTAATGAATTAATGGAATTTTATTTAGCTGGATGATCATGTTCAGTTTTCACACCACTGACTTTGACAGGCTTCACTTCCTAAAAATGAAAAAATGCCTTGAAAAATGCTGGAGAAAACACGCGGCACAAGCTTAGGATCACAAGGATCGTATGAGCTTTGTTGGTAGGTCAGTGATCACTGCCATGGAACCTCAAGCTGAGAGCAAACCAGCTCTTCCCTGCCTCATCCTGCAACTAACAAATTCCCTCCAGTGCCAACCTCTTAATTCTACTTGATTACCTGCTATATTAATAAGATGATTTGCTCATTTGAACCCATTGATCTGTTGATTCACTTTTAATTGCAAGCTTGATTTGATCACTGTATTGCTCCTTTCTTAATTACCTCAGAGATACTATCTAAGATTGGCTCAGTTATATTCTGGTTTAATTTAATAGCTCCTTGCTTATCCTGTGTTTTTAATCCTGAAGTAGGAGATCAGACTGCAATGCAGCTCAGAAACGCAAGGAAAATGGTATCTGCAAGTCACTGGTGATACTTTCAAATGGGCACCCAACTTATAGTAATTCTGGAAAACATCAGAAGCTGCTTTTAGCTCACTTTTAAATAGATGACTTAAAGGACCTGCTCGAACCTTAGTATCCTTGGTAAGTATTTGCAAATTAGACTTCCACTGTGGGATTCAGAGAGGTGATCCAAATTTTATGCGAAGATTACTAAATTCCTTGGAAAGGAATCCCAAGACTATTTCCCAAGAAAAGCAAAGAAAAAAGATTTTCATTTGATCTTAATTTTATTCATACTGCATTCTAACACCTCTAACAGCACCCAGAAGAAGAAAAAAAGGGGGCATCTGTTGAAAAAGGATCTTCAAGGTCACTTTTTTCCTGTGTATGTGTATGAAGAGTCTAACCCCCTGAAAGACCTAACAGGAGTCATAATTAACTTTCATTGTCTCAAACCCCAGGGCAGAAAGAAATTGAACCAAGGGTAAGAAAAGAAAGGTCAGAGATAAAGCTTTGCATAAAATGTCACACGCTATGCAGGAATGGCATGCCTACCTATTTCCCAATTTTCTCAAAAGGCATAACTGCTCATTTTCCACCTGTTGAACATAAGAGAATAGAGGAAAAGAACAGTGATGAGCACACGAGTAAGAATAAAGGGCCTCCAAGAAATCAAGATGACATAGTATGCCTTTTCACCTAAGATACCTTAAAAACAATGGTAAGTACTAATGTGAAACCTTAGAAGTCTGAGACCTACCAGCCTTCCAAAAACATGAAGCTATTTTGGGCAGCCCTGGGAAGAAACTTGGCAGAATTTCGAGGCGAGAGCTACAGCATGATCCCTTATTCTTGCAGCTGTGGGAGGTCTGGGTGGCCTACACCTCCCTGTGCACTTGCCTCCTCTGAATAATTCAGTGCCCTAGTTTACTGGAAAACCAGTACTATCCAAAGCTGTACGCTGGCACAAATGCCCTCCTATGCTAAAAAAATGGTGCAAATCCACATTTATTTGTTTAACTAAAATTAACTCCATGGCTTTGACTCAGTGGTATTACTTGAATTTTGGGGCACAAAGCCAGTATTTAATTGCAAGAGGGGAGGTAAGACCGAAGGTAGAGCCAGTTCATGATGAAGGCTTAACCCAAGATTTTTAAGCCTCAACTCTATCCAACCTGCTTTTGTCCACCCCAAAATGTGCAGTCCAGTAGCAAGCAGACTCAGTTCCACTTGAGCTTGGCAGTACCTATGTTGCTTTGTGTTGTAGTCCCTCATCAGTACAGTACGCCTCGTTAAGACAGCTCACGCTACTACTGGTTCAACAGAGGCACCCACCTGCTGCAGCACCAAGTCTGCTGTCTCTGCTCTGGTGATGTTTGGGCTCATTTCCTGCACCAAGTCTGCCTCTTCTTTTGTACCATGGCTGGCATAATGGGGTCTCCAGACACTGCATTACTAATAGCAACTTCAAAGAACTTTTTTTTTTTTTTTTTTTTGAAGTCCAGGAATCAAGCTTGAAAACAACTGTTAAACATGACACCTTTTTAAGGATAGCAGTGAGTGGACTATGGAACACCAACAATCATAGTACTCAGATAAATAAACAAGTCTCTGTGGATTTGATAGCCCAATAAATATCCATTACTGCTTGTTGCCAAGCTGCGTGCCTGAAAATGAAAATGAGGAAAGAACAGATCTTAATGGCTGATAGCAAAAATAATCGAGTCTTATCTAAATCAAACTTTATTGGCCTGGATGAATTATTTTTGGCCTCCTGTAATCAAAGCTGAAATTTCACCTGTCAGGCACAGTATGGTAAAACTCATTAGAACCTCACCATGTGCTGTTATGAAATTGCTCCATATGGCAGCACACGATTGTTTATTTACTAGATTCAAATATAGGCAGGTTTCAGAAAAAAATATTATTTTCAAATTTCTGTAAGGCAAAAGCGCATACGCTGAAGCTAACACACAGAAGTAATCATAATATTTTGCTTGTACAAAGAATTTCGCCTTGTGCAGCAGCAAACCTATTGATCAGGCAATTGGCAATCCTCAAGTGTGAGCACTCATTAAGGCAAAGGTATATGAATCATTTTTTAATGACATCTCTTTGCTTTCAGCAGCTTAGCATGTGTCCTGGTTTCAATGGATGCACTGTAATTTAGGCAAGCTGTCTACAGACTTCAGCCATTACTCTTACCATATGTTTTCTTCAAAAATTACCATGCACTGGGGCCTGCTGGCTGCATTCACATAGCGAGGTGCAGTCTCTCTGCTGTATCAGCGTGTTAGCATTACTTGAAAAAGCAAGAGTAATGTGCTTATTATAAAGAGAAATTCCCAATTAGCAAGTTTAGTGCATGTGTGTTAACTTGGATTAAATACATTCCAATTATGGGCAGCTCATTATTAGAACTACAGCCAGCTGTTTGCCAGAAATGCGAGATCTGGTAAACAAGCCTCTCCTCTGTTCTCTTGCAAAAGATTCCAGATTGTTTCCTCCCATTGGTTCCCAAATAACAGGTACAAATACTGCAGTAAATTACTCTGCCACCCTATTTAAACATTTCAAAGCTGAATAAGTGCCAGAGAAAGGGCAATGGGTTTGTTAAGACACAAGGAAAATAAGAATTCAACGACCAAAAGAGCATGCAGGTTTACACACACTGTGGCAGACACCCTGCTGGCAACTTCCCTTGCTAAGAAAACTGGACCAGAGAAAAAAAAATAAAAAAATCTATTGACACAGGAAGGATTTCATCCTATTACTACTTGCATAAAGTGCCTCTGATGTGCACGTCTCTGTTTGTAGACAAGTGAGGAAACGGCCTCAAGTTGTGCCAGGGAGGTCCAGGTCAGATATAAGGAACAATTTCTACAATTGTTACAATGCAGTCTACAATGTACAAAAAGTCTACAATGCACTTAGGCACCAAAACAGGCTGCCCAGGGTAGCGGAGGAGCCCCCTTCCCTGGAATTATTTAGGAGATGTGTAGACATGGCATAATGGAACATGGCTTACTGGTGACCTTGGCAGTGTTAGGCTGACGGTTGCACTTGATGATCTTAAGGGTCTTTTCCAACCCGAATAATTCTATGATTCTCTGATAATCTGTTATACTATTCAGCTTCCCTGGTTACGGGAGGCCTTCCAGAGTGGCCCAAACTAAGGTTTTTTTAAACCTTTGGTGAGTGGAAACAAAATCCAAGAGTTAGACAGAAGCAAAAAAATGCTGTCATGGGTTTACACAGCTTAACACAGCTGCTGCATGGAAAGCTAGTTCAAATTTTCTCCAAAGGGAATCCCAGAACGTATTCCCAACTGCTGATACAACTGAATCAGAAAACCAAAAAACCTACACTCTGTACAGAAATTAGGGAGGGTGGCAACTGCAAAGCTATAACTACACACACATGCAGAAGGCCAAGTGCCAGCTGAGGGCTTCAAAGAAACAAGTACAGCAAACAGCAGCAAACAACATGCCCATTCCAACATCTACATTCATCTAAAACTTACCTCAATCCAAACTTCTTTCTAGAAAATGAAAACTCCTTTTTCAGATGTAGGCCTGCAAGCATAGCTCAGCTGGTGCTGCACAAAGCAACACAGCACCACAAAGCTGCTGCTGTTCTAATATTGCCTTTCAGACATGTGATATTCTAATTATATTTATACTCTGACAAAACTAAAGTAGTACATGAAATTGGACAACCAAGAAATCTTTTTGCCCACCCAGTATATTTTATTCAGCTAGTGGTTTAAACAAAATCCCAAGCAGACAACATGCACTATAAGCCAGTCAGCAGCACGGCATTTGAGTGACCTCCAACCCTGCTTCAGTCCAGGTGTTCCAGCCAACAAGCAGGGAAATGCCCCTTCAATATTTACCCAGACCAGGAAGCAAAAACGTATCCCTGTGTTCCATGATTTGAATACCTTTGTTATTTTTTGTGGCTTCCTTGCCTCTACACTTAAACTGACAATAGCATCTAGAATGTCAAAGTAATGAACAGAAGGTAAACGGACCTCTGCACAGAATTCCTAGGACAGAGGTAAGAATAGGGTGTCTTACCACTTACCAAGGAGAGGGAGCAAGATCAGCTCTTCCCAGGTACAAGCACTTAAAAAACACACACTTTTTCAACCAATGGACAGGTTAAATAGCAGATTTGGATGATGTGAATACCTGGCCTGTCTCAATTACAGCTCCTTGTATTTTTGAACAAAATCACCATTTGCAACTAGCCAACTACTAGCCATTTTCTTACCAGCCCAATAAAAAAAATCATTAACAATCCAAATTAGTGATAACTGGAACAGAACACATGTCGGAAAGATAAATCCATTTCTTGTATCAATACTTTTATGTTATTAAGCAAAAACATTTAGCAAGGCCAAATGAAACAGGATAATTAAGGAACACGTGGAAAAACCACTCAGAAAAATCATAGTACTTGTAGGGCTGCAAAAAAGGGAAAAAAAAAAATAGTCTAACCAAATCAAAGACAGAGTACTGGAGGATTAGAGAAGAGGTAATTCCACAGTAGGCAGCCACATACATTCACAGTATCATTAGGAAATTCTGTTTAGTAGACAAAGAGTTTACTGGCTCAAGGGATATTGCTATAAAGGTTTTCAGCATTGTTTGTGCATAATCTACGTATAACATTCAACTTGGGAATGAGATATGATGTAGAAAATTGCCCTTGCAGTCCTTGAAGCCAATAATTTAGCTCTGCAACCTTAATTTATAAAGGAAAAGGGATGGTAGCTGGAACATGAATTTGGATCACTGTCAGATTTAGGAATGAAAGTAATTAATGCTTCTGTGAAACTCCCTTGATAGTTATTTTTGGATTCAAAAATCTTTAAAGAAAAGTTTTAATTTAGGGGCAGAAGCTCATTATACTCTCAAAAGAATCCTGCTGTACTAAATCATTTGGCTTTCAATTCATGGCCCCACATCCCCTCTTTACATACAGCTCCTTCACTGATAAAGCCACAAATTATTTCCCACATTAACTACTGAAACTTCTGATTTGCTCTCACTTTGAGTCACTCTGAGTTCAGGCCACTGGCTCTCATATTCAGAGCCTTTGCTCCTATCAAGTAATGATGGCGTCCGAAGACTTCGTTTCCAAATTTCTCATTTTCTGCCAGCTTTCACACCTTCACATTTCCTTACAAGTTCTCCAGAGCAGCTAACTGCTACTGGGCCTGCCTAACAGCACTCCTCGACCAGCCAAACCCTCATCAACCCTTGTTTCCCCACTGTAGTGCCTCCAAGACACTACAAAGGTGTTAAAAAAAACCACTGAGGTGATGCAATTATATGAAATGTCTAAATAACTAAAATGAAGGAAAATGGACACCTTGGGAGAGGTGGGTGGGACAACAGAAACTTCAGTGATTTTCAAGCTGAGATTTTATTTTAATTTTATTTTAATGATCTTTAGCATACTTTGTAAGCTCCAGATGGTACCAACCAGGCAGAAATTAATTTTTAATGCTACTTCACATTCCTGAATCTTACAGCTTTTGTACTTCTGTGAGATTTCTCATTTACAGCTATAGTTCCAGGAATCAGCACAGTGTCTGCTAAAGCCAATGGACAGGATCCTGTTGGCTACAACGGACAATGAAACAGGTGCTCAGGCAACAAAGTTAAGCACCTAGTTTTTAAATATTTCATTTATTCACCTTTATGCAAAATTCATCTCTCAGCTTCAGTTATTTATGTTCTCCAATGTAAGTAATTATGATGTAGGGCTGCAAACAAAACCCACAGGTTTTGGAGATGAAAAGCAACCAGCAGGGCTCCATCACTTCCAGTAGCTTGGAGGGCTATTTTCAGACTCTCAATCAAACCCACAGCTCACACAGGGTTAACTAAATTTCTGAAAGCTTCCAAAAATGCACCATAAATGCTGCAGCCTTACCCGTGGTTTTAAACCAAAAGGACTGTACAAGCAAGCTGAGCCTCCACAGGGTTGTGCACTTAAGTTATAATGATTACGCTGATGTTTGTGATTAATTGCTCTTGGTTATTTGCAATTTGAGGAAGAATGATGAAAGGAAAAAATCATATACTCCCCAACTTCAGCATTCTCTTCTGAATTAGAAGTGACAGTCAGTATTTGCTAAAAAGTACGGCTGCACCATTCCATTGGTTAGCCCCTGAAGAATGTATTATTTGAAAAAAAAATTGAGATTGGGGTTTTGATACATTGCTCTCTTAAAGAACACCACTAAGCATTCCATTCTTTTTTTTGGTGGGGGGGGAAAAATAAGATTTTGTTCTCCCTTTTTAATAGGCTGTTATAACCTTTAACATGCCATGAAATTAAATGCTTCCATTGGGGATCCATAACTTACAATAACAATAGTATTTCTAGCACTTGTTGGAACTGAGGAAAGTTACTATAATAACGAGTGTAATATTTTAAAGGTCTACAGAATTGTCACTATGCATTACTGAGTTCCCATAGTTAACCCATGAATTAAAAGCGTATGAAAGTGATAATAGCCGAAATTCTAAAGAAGCGATTGGCACTTGGCAAAATTATCACTTTGCTGGAATTAACCTGTGATCTGCTGGGAAGTATAAAAAGAAAGTACTTGGAAGCACATTAATCTCACAAGTGACACTGTTTGAAGCAGGAGTTTGGGCTGGGACCTCCTGAGATCGCTTCCAACCAGAATTACCCTGTGGTTCTAATCACGGCTACTAATTCTTGCTAGGTACACATACTGTTACATTAAATAGCAAGCATATAATAGGTACATTAAGTAGCAAGAACAGATCAATTTCTTCCTACTGGCATAAAAATCACAAAACATTCAGTTAGAAATAAAAACTTGAAGGCCAGACTTAGTCAGATGGTAATAGCATTCGTGTAACGGTGACTGAAATGTGCACCCATTCCTTGCTTTGGGGAGATAAACATGGCCTGATTTACAGAGGAGTTAAGCATTTACAGTTCTCTGAAATTTCTTTACTTTCAAAAGTGGCGGGCAGTGACTCAATCAAGCAATCAGCACCGTCCAGGACTGAGACCATGATTCAGGAATTTCTTTTTTTTTAAGAATACTCAAGTAGACAGAGCTTGTGAGAGTTTTCCCTGGATCCAAAGCCGTGCTCAACATTCCATCTTCCAATTCCTCAATGAAAAAAATGCTTAATGTGAGCCTCTTCTAATCTTTTATCAAGCTGATTTACTGAGTCTCACCAACTCCTCCTTGAGTTCTGTTCAATACTGTATTTTTCTTTAGTCTGCCAGTTCTTAAAGGACAATCTGTTACTTCCTATCTTTCTACAGCTTTCTAGTTTCTAGTATTGCAGCCACTTCAAACTGCTTGTTTTTACCATACAAGAGAAAGAAAGATGCCTACATCTTCAAAGAACAATGCAGACATTACAAAAAAACAAAAAAAAACCAACAATCCAGACAACGCAAAAAACACAATGAGATTCTCAACAATGAAAATTTTTACAGACTTCAGTATTGCCAAATTGAAAATTTCAGTTAAATCACTTGTGGAGATGAGATTACTTAGAAAAAGCAAAATCATGTACAGTGATTATTTATTGAGGTAGATTCTGACAGGGAATACAACCACCATATACGTACTTCCATCAACCCTTAACTATCCTGCAGGGATGAGGATTTATTTTGACACAGATCTCAGAATACAAAGGAATAATTGAGGGTAGCCATGAGAGAAGCCAAAATTTTCCTAAAAAGTCTGGAGAAAAATCTTTAGTTACTGCAGGGGAAACTGAATGCTCATTAGTTAACATTGCTGAAGAGCTATCAACACTCCTGGAAATATTGGTTTTCTTGACCTAAAATACACAGCTAGGTTCAAAGGAGTTCTTCTGTAGTGCTGAAACTAGAATCATAACTGAATCCGAGCCTAGTCCTTCTGCCCATCAGGATTAACAATAGCTGGTATTACCCAGCCTGGGTCCTCTGACTTACTGGTGTCCTCAACCTGCAGCAAGGTCTTTCTGCTGCTACAGGAGAGCCCAGCTGGTTTTCACAGGCAATGCTTATGCCACGTGATTCAAATGATTACGGGCATGTGCTTGTGGAACTAGCAGAGTTTTTTGAGAATCTGAATTCAGATTCAAATTTCAGTACTAAAAAGCAAAATAAGGTTGGTGATTTGGAGAGAATGTGGGAATTCTGAACGTTCAGACAACTTAAAAACACACTTCCAAGTGAAAGAGGTTTAGGGTACCGTTATGCCTTCCACTGATGAGTGAAAAAGTGAAAACACATCTAAAATATTTGGACAATCAACTGTGCCTGAAATCTTGTTTCCCACTCCAACATTACCCTATCCATGATGCCAAACATCATCACTTCAAGTGCGCGTAGATACCCCCCCCCCAATTTGACACCTGAAGTTTTCAGGCCATCTAACTAACAAATTGCCCAACAGTAAGCATAACAAAGTCATGCACAATAAAATGACAGCCAGTACAAGAAATAAGTAATGTGAAATAGCAAGATACACGTAATACCAACACACACACTTAAATTAAATGACAATATCATTTTCTCGTAATCTTTCTCTAACTCTGCTGGAAGAGCACAGTGTTGACAGGATAATTTTATAAAATTCCTTGACAGTTCATGTTAAACTACCCACCATTCCCTTAGATTGATAATTGGCACTTAGAAAGAAAATGAAATGTCTGCGAGACTCATTAAAAACGTCAGATATCTGAGAAAATTCAGTGCAATGGTTGTTACCTAAATCACCAGGTAAGCCAGGTAAAGGGCTGCTTCCTTTTCCAATTCCAAAAAAAAAAAAAAGTAATGATCTCGTATTTTTAATGCAAAGGAAATGAAGAGGTTACTGTGAGACAACTTCAAGTCTTCCTGCCATCAGCTGACAGTGGCAGCATTTTCAATTAAGTCAGTAAAGTTTACAGTATTTGACTTCAGCTCTGCTTTTCTCATATTTTCTCCTTTTTGAAGAAAGCAGAAAACGGAGAGAAAAATCTTATTTCTGCAGATATTCCCTTAATAATCTATTGAAAGAGAATCTCAACAATAAGTCTTACTTGGAAATGTTCAAGTGATCTACTCTGACTGTAGCAGTTATTTCTCTATCTGAAGTCTAAGCACACAGAAAAGTAACAAAACTGCCCTCTTCAACAAACCACAGAAACGCTTTTCTTTATGCACTTTGGCATTTGCATGGAGACAGTTTAAATGAAATAAGCAGACCTAAAGCTAAACACTGCCTGAGCACAGAAACATCCGGGACCCTCAAAGAATGATCAGACAACTTTTTTCTGTATCCACAGAAGAGTCTTGTTTTCACTTGATGTTAAACTACACATGAAGGAGCTCATGCAGTAAGCAAGCCTGCTGCAATAGTACAGCAAAATACTGGACAAAATGAGACAAGGTACAGGACCAAGTTACCAGCTCTCTGACATACTCTATCACATTACAATCACTTACTGTAATAAAAAGCAGTGGCTCAATCACAGACATAAAAACTAGCAAAAACTCTAACTTCCTTAGTTTACAGATGAAGTGACAGAACTTCATCTCTGTTCTACTACATCCATGAATATCTCAGTTTCTCTTGCTCTCAGATGATAAAAAGAATTTAATAAATTAATTATCTTACCTACAAAGGAACTTATTGTGAATCTTGCTTACTTCTGTTGATTGAAGTTGAAGTTTATCAAATAATTCAATGATGGATCAGAGAACTGTTGTCACACCATCCACATTTCAGAAGCTTCATTCTGTGGACCACATTGTTGGATCTTTGGCATAACTGAGTTAAAATGGCAGTCTGTCCTCTGAAAGTGCAAAAGATAAGAAATGTCTTAATGTAGTTATTTGGCAAAACTGCTTAACTAGTCTAATGAAGCAGAAGAGTACACGAAATCTGCTACTAAGATATAAAGTGAATATTTTGAGTTTTAAATATGTATGTGAGATTATATGAACAGACTTTTTAAAATATAGATGAAAAGAAAATAAGTAGGCTTGATATCCATGACAAAGTTATTTCTGTCATAAATTATAGTTAATTTTCCCTCAAGTTTCTCATAGGTAAAGGGGATGGAAGATTGGAGAAATAGACCTTGTAGAACAATGGCCCAGCTTCCAAAGATTTTCTCATTAGAAAAATTACTAGTTCCATTGTTAGGTTCATGATCCAGTAATCACACATTCACTACTATCTGCAGAGTACTGATGTCTTCTAGGGCTCTGTGAAAATCCTAAAATGTAACATCTGCAAAGAGCACCAAGTACCCTCACACCTAGCTCCTGAGGCATCTGTTTCTTCACCAGACTAGAAAGGCCTGCTTGGAAAAAGGCAATGGAAGGGGCAGCTCCTCAGAAGGTTGGCCAGAAGCAGTATACCTTGTATTTTAAGGTGTTCTAGGTCCAAGCAAAACTACAGAGCATATTATCTCCATATTTCAGCCCTGGCCTTAAGGAACAGCTTTAGCTCTATGAATAATCCCATTTCAATATTACAAGGTTGAGTTTCTGAAGGTTGGTTATAAATTATACCTATAAATTATTTCTCAAGTTACTGTTGGTAAATTCCTTCTGTGAGGAATTCCACTCCCTCATCTCTGCTATTAAACAACAAATCCAAAACATTTAATGATGGCTCTTTGAGTTTGTATCCATTCTGTGCTTTTTCCATTGAAATTCCTTACACTAACTGCAGCAGAATTCACACAGATCAAGTGAACCATTAAGCTGTTGTTCTGGATATAATTTTTTTTTTTTTTTTTGTTAGAAGCACTCTTCAAGGCATCAAGGACCCAAAGCAAAAGAGAAACAAAAATGGGAGTAGGTAAAAAATTTGTTATATGCTTCCTTGTCACTGTGTAAGAAGAAGGAAAATCTAATAGGTTGCCTACTTAGAGGCTTAATTAAAACTTATGCTTCCAGAATAAGAACTACAATTAATGCTCATGGTTTCCACAGTTCTCAAGACCAAGTTACCAGATTCTACTGCCGATGAAAATCTCCTGAATGTATTATATAGTAATATTAGAGAAATCAGTGAGTTTTAAATAAGAGAGCTTACTCATTTGAGAGGGCAAAGAAAAGGATTCAGTTCCTTTTCCCTTCCTCCTAGGTGCTAACAGCTTACTGTAATCACCCAAGTTCAGGGAAACTGAAACAAAATGCTGCATGCTATCAAGGATGCAAGGAGTTTTCTCTTTTTTTCTTCTTTGACCCTGGTAATAAAGATGCATCTTTATTATTTTCCTTGCTGTAGCCTGAAACAAAATAGCTGATTCTCAGGTGGAAAAATAATTAGAAACATAGGGGGCTGAATGAATTTTGAGATATTGAGGAAAATGTAGTTTGAACTGTCAGGTTTACCTGCTTACCCAGAGGAACTACAAGGCAGCAAAGAAATAAAACCTTCTTAGAACTTAAAGCTTTCATCAGCCTATTCCCTCTGGCTGATTTTTCCCCCAAATCTCTCTCTTCCCAGTGGCTCCTATTAGAAACACAAATAGTTTGCCTCTCTGCTTAGTGACAAATGTCACGTTACTTTAGGATTTTTTTTTTTTAATACTATTATAATGTTTCTTTTAAGACACACTACGCATATAGAAAGACTACGCAACACATTTAGACAAATATGCTTTTGTTTTGCAAAGGATTTTCAAAGGAAAACAGAAATACTGGAAGTTCAACTTCAGCCTGTCAGGCCAAAGAGCGCTGCCCTCTCTTTGATGCTTGACCTGCACAGCTACAGTAGCTGCCAACAGGACCAGTGCTATCTCTCTGTATACGTTTAGAACAGATACGGATTAGTGCAGAGAATGCTTACAGTCTTTCTTGTAATCACTGTGACCAGATCATGAAAAATTAATGGACAGAAATTGATTCCTTACTTTGCAATTAAAAAGATAAGGACAATCGGCATCCAGTGCCTCAGCAGGCCCAAATCTTTCATTGATCATCACATTTTCCCTTCCCTCAGAAAATACTTTTTCTCTCATCACATAAGTGCTTTTGGGGCAGTAAAATGCATTCTTGCCACAGGAAGCGTTACATTTGCCCAATCATCTTATGCTGCCACCCCACTCCTACAGAAACCAGACCAGCATCAGTAGCAGCTCCAGGTCTTCTAGATGAATTTTTTTTTCTAACCTCAAGGCACAGAGCACCAGCTTCGTGCTGATTCAGCTGAGACTCCCATTAGTGAGCAGCAGAGTTGAGCTGGACCAGCTCCAGCCACAGGCTCTGGACAGTCTCCTCCTGCTTCAAGCTACAGAATGCTGGGGAAGCACACCCCTACAACTGCTGTGCCTGCTCCTTTGTTCTGCTGCCTACACTCAACAGTCACAGAAACAACCAGCATGACAGAAAGGTGCTATAAAGAAAGGAAAAAGATTTCTCACCAACATCAGAAGATTCCAGGATCACAGAAAAAAGCTTCACCAAGGAGGAATCTCCCCCAAAAGATCTCTCCCCAGGGTCAGTCAATCCTTAAATGAGGTCTAAGAGAGGTGCAGCCAGGCTCCACCCCTTCTGGTTACATAGAATTGCCTTCACCTGTGCTCCCAGCTGACTGGTGCTTTCCCAGGTGTGCAATCAGTGGTTCAGGCCGGTACTCAGCAGTTCCCATACACCGCCCAACAGAAAAATCAAAAGGGCATGGAAAGTCATCTTCACAACCTATTTCTGTGGAGAAAAGGAACCCGAAGTGAGAGGCTTCAGCAAGCTGAAGTCTACTGGAAGGATGAGGAGGAAATGTGTCGTGGAGTGACTGCAGGAAGCCTTCCTACCAGAAACCCTTGGGAAAGTAATTACAGAGCGATTCGTGTCTTGGCAGATGGAAAAATGGTTTTAACAGGAAAGTTGCAAGTGGACTTCCAGGCACAATGATAAGCATCAATTTCTTTTCACAGCAGCAGAAGCATAAGAGTACATGACTTTCCCTAGCTATTCACTGCTACATTTAGAAAAAGATCAGAAGGAGCAGAGAACATGAGAAGTACCAGGGCAAACTAGTAAGCTACTCAGAGCAGAAGCTCCACACTACATGGAGGATAACTAGGGGAAACATGTTTAAGAACAAACTTATTCAAAAGCTATTTAAACAGCCAATCACTGTTAAATTGTGCAGAGGAGGCAATATGCTCTAGAGGGAGTGCAGACCAGAAGAGATTGACTTCTTCAAATTCACAGCTGTGGTGAAGCAATCAAATACTCCAATGCCAGCACTCCCCTCAGAGACAAGACAACCTGGGGCCATATGACCTCAACCTCTGATATGCACAGGGAAAATCTAATGAGAGATTTGCTATAGGAACTGATGTCTTGAAGTGACAAATTACAAGCTTCACTGACCTCTCGTGAAGGGGAAGTTTCAAACTTTCATCAACACAATTGAGCAACTGAGACAGGCACGTGCAAGGAAAGGAAAATTGACTCTAAGCAGAGACATTCACAGTTGCTGATAAAACCAACTTTAATTCTGCATTCTTGTTAGTTAGAAGTGAAATGACAGTGAAGGAACACAAAATATAGAAATGTGGAAAAACAAGAAGGTAAAATCCTTGGCTGGGTAATTGATTTACTGCCCCCCAAATCAGCACTGCTTGAGAAGAGATGCTCTGAGGATTTAGTCATTGCTAAGCTCAGTCAGAACCAGGAAGTTCCCAAGCGTTCACAATCAAAATAAATTAAATTAGATTAAACTCTTCCAAGCTTCTAGAACAACCAAAAAGGCTTACTTTGGATTTTGACTACAGGGTAAATCATGGGTACAGTGCAAAACAGAAAGCTTATCTTTCAAAACTTGTATCTCTGTAATTGCCAGAATGTTAACTGTGGGAGATTGCAGTACTGCAAACACGTTAGTTAATATTTCCAAGTGGCAAAGATTTCACCCCAGATTTCCAGCTCCACATCTTATGCACTTAATAGGTTTCATGCTGATTATTAAGCTGAACAATACAGAATATCATGCTGTTGGCAAAAAAACATTATCATTAATAAGATTATATATTTGCCTCTAAGAAGGAAGAAACCACTCTGGGCAATTGATCTATGCTTTCAGAAGACTAATAATGTGAAAAGTGAAGTGATTTGTCCCATCAGCCTTCACTTCCTATTCTAGGAGCAAAAAATAAAATAAAATAAAATAAAATTTCTGCCTACTAACAACTGTGCAGAACTTTCAGAAGCTCTTTTGCTAGATCGGAGCCTGATACCTAGGCCAGTCTCTTACAGCCCTCGTCTTCAAGCCCGATGATTTGTGGTGTTCCACTTGAGATCCTGGACTCGGGGTCCAGCTTTTCTAAACAAGCTGACTGTGCGTGTGCCAAGAATCAAGCCTCTCTGGAATGCCAAGCTGGGAACCTGAAGGCACAGACACCTGCAGTCACTAGCAAAGCTTAAAAAGTATAAGCATAATTCCCAACACTCACACATTCTCACAAAGCTTGCAAATGAGAATAAATCACACCTCACAGAAAGCCTTAAATGACAGGATTTGGCTCCGCTGCATTCAATTCTTCACTGAAATGTTACTTCATGTCACTTTTTATTGCCCTGCATGCATGCCAATGTGTACAAGATTAGTGCTGCTGCCGCAGATGAGGAGATGAACTACTACTGTTCCTAGGCTTGAATCCTTTTAAAAACATCATTGGTAGTATGAAATCCAATTAAAAGCAATCCTTTTTTTTTTTTTTCCCCAGAAAAAGGAGACGAAGCAGAACTCAGAAAGTGATGCCAAAGGTAAAAAAAAAAAGACCCAGAAAATGAAGTGCTTTACAGTGGAACATAACAACGAACAAAGCTTCAAAAAAGGAAAATGCTTTGGTAGTAGAACGATTAAAAAGAGCTCACACTAAAATTCAGACACAAAAACTGGAGGCAAAGCAGACTCAGGTGTTCTCAATCTACTCCCAAACAGACCAACAGCATTAACAATCAATACTCTTTAGGTGTGTTAAAGCTTCACCTTCTAGCTAAGAGAAATCCAATGGTTGCTCCTATATTTATAAGTGGAATTTTGACAGCAGAGCAGATACATCTTCATCAGTGCTTTGTGTCTGCCTGCCCCCTCACTTCAGTTCTTATTGTCATTTTGCAATATATTAATGATCCAAATCATCGAGTGATTCCAGTTAGGCTGCAAGAGCTTCTGTGAAGTAGGCAGCACTCCTCATAATGATAGATTGCAGGAATAATGGCCTCTTTACTGAAAACGAAACATCAGGAAACTGGCTTAGAAATGTCAAAAAAGGAGGGGCTGAAGATCACAAGCAAGTGCCTTATTAGGAAAGATAGAAACAAATATTCAACAGGGCAGCGTTATTTTGAATTCACTTCTTCAAGGCTGCCTATGCGTCAGACAGCGCTCATTCAGGCATCGAGCATCGGATGATGTTAGGACAGTCATCTCTCCACGATGACCCGGACCAGACCAGTCCCCTGTCTTTCTCTGTAGCGCTGAGGCTGTAATGAAGCAAGTACTTTCAGCTGGAAGGTGCTGATGTCAAGCCCATAGCAGCTGGGGAAGGGCTGGAGAAGCCCTACCATTATGACCATTGCACAGATGGAAGTACTCTGGCAGTACTTTCATATGGTGGATTTTCCCAGAAGATGCCACTGCTATTCCACGATTCCAAACAGTGAAGCTGCCACAGCGGTGGGCTGTGGTGTCTTGGAGCCAAACTGGAGCTAAATGGAGCTGGCACGCACACCTCTCGTGCTCCTGACTCACAGACTGCATACACATCAGTGAAAGAAGGCAAGAAATTGCAAAAAGTGCTGGGGTGTGGTCGTGCCTGGCTCTGTTCCTACACAAATGCTCAAGTAAGCTAATAAAGGTGGCTGTTCACATATTTGAGGGAGTTCTGCAGGTTCAGAAGGGTCAGCGACCCTCCTAAGTTTGGCACATCGAGGCCAGCCTGAAACTCGCAGAGTTAAATATAAATAGCTTCATGCACAGGCCAATTAAAGCAAACAGCTTTTCTCCCCTCCTCTCCCATTCACCTTCCATTTTATCTCTTTGGACTGACTGCAGTTTTGGCTGAAACGTATCCCTTTGAACTGCCCTGTGAAACCCTCTAATTAGCTTTCGGCTCCTCTGATTAGTAAATGCAATCCAGTGGCTATGATTATATTTCCAGGTGCTCTATAAATTTTCTGACGATAAACTAGGCAGACAAAATCCATGAATACACAGACAACCTGTAAAGTCTAATGCTTCCATGAATTAGTCTATCTGAATAAGAAAAATGCCATTAATGCGGATAAGCCCCTTCAACTCTCCCCATTAATAGCTGGTCTTAATTCACAGGTGCCTTTTTAATCTCTGCTGAATTCCTCCAGAATCTAATGAACGCATGTAATAATAATAGCAACTAAGAATTTAATCCCGATTCTCAACTTTCTTAAATTAGACCTTTGTCATTAAGAGATTACAGGATAGTGAATGATAGTTAATCAATGTTTTTAATTTGACCCCATTATTTATTTGATACAGTTTCTCACATGGTGGCTATAAATCTTCCCCCCTAACCAAGCTTGGCCACTAGAAGCAACGATGAAATACTGAGCAAAAAAATACTAGATTTGATGATCCTATTAAGTGCAGTTAAAGTATAATTAATCTCTCTCTCTGCATGTGAACAAACCTTTCAAACCACTACATATATGCACATATGTAATTCATACATAGCCAGACACTTCATGTAAGATTTATTGTGCTTCATTTTTTGTCTCTGTTAACTCTTAGCACTATCAGTCAAGATTTCCCAGCACTTACCACAGCATTAGCCCTAAGCATCGGGAAATCACATTTCTTGGTGCCAAGGCTTTAAAAAGATTCTAATTCAGCTATTAAACTGGAGGCAGCATGTGCCAGCCCCACAGCACATTCACCCATTAATTCTGTCCCCTGGAAAAATGACTGCCTCTTGCACCAGCCTGATAAAATGAGGAAACGTGCCGATTATGTCTGTGGCAGCTATCCTTGACCCAACCAACAGTGACAGTCATCAAGCCGCAGTACCGAGAGCGCTGCAAGCTGTGTGAGCTAACCCAAGACATCATTAATTCTAAACACCAGAGCTTTCGTCCAGATACTGGAGTTCAGAGAAGCTTAAAAACAAATCCCTTTGGTGGGATGAAATTCTGTGTGCTGTTCATATTAACTTTACAGACAGTATTTGGAACTTATTTCTTCAGCTGGACAGGTCAAATAAGAGGAATCAAAGCACCAGTGTCCTTCCCTGGATTGCTCAGAACTGGACCTCAGGATCAGTTAATAATGTTGCACAGGCAGAAGTCGAACTGACGGAGAGTCAGGCTGGTTTTTATTTTATTTTTAACACAACAGAGCGGAGGGGACAAAGCAGCTGTGAATGCCATAGACTGAGTGATTTCTCCAGCCAGGATCTGAAAGCACGCACATGTTCAATAGGGGAAAATTTCATAAAAATGGCATTTCATCAGAAAAAAACTAACATGGTAATAAAACAGCCCTTACAACCTAATCCTACCAAGTCTTTAGGAAGACATTCATAATTCACAAAGGTCCTGGAATTTTGGAAAGTTATTCTGTAAGTGAAAATCTTGAAGGTGTCTCATGGGATTACCATAAATAAGTGTATATTGTAGCTTAATGAAGAATTTCATCCCTAGAAGAGCTGACGTACTTGATGCTGTTCTGGACGCAGAGCAGCATTCTTATTAGATGGAAGATGGTAGCTTGAAGCATTGCCATCCAGCTGCAAACCTCACCCAAATGAAGACATTCCCTCTGCTGTTACAGTCCAAGTATTGTCTCTGCCAGCACAGCCCCCAAAGTGAGCATCTTTCTTCTCTCCTCTCTTTTTTCAAAGGGGCAGGATTTGGCTGCAGCCATCACACAGTTGGCACCATTCCCACTGTCACATCTGACCACAGACACCAAACATCCAGAAATGGGAGATCTCTATATGACCATCATGGAAGTGACAAACATTTTGGAAATGAAATTTGTTACTTTATGATGTGCTACCCTGAAAATTCTTACTTGCGCCTCTTTGCTCGGCACACGCACAAAAAAGACAGAAATACACATTTTAATATGGAGGTAGGCAAATAGAATCTCATAGATGAAGTACCACAGGAGTGCACTATACCCTTTTCACCCAGTTTCTGCTTCAAAAAGTAGTTGGCAAATAAGGTAAAGCTCAAACAGGATGGACCTCCAAATATCCTTTAGTAATTGCACCTCCTCAGCTTCCTTTTAGTCATAAAGAATGTAACCACATCTCTAGAAGATCTCAGTACGTTTGATTTGACAGACTTCTCCTAAAAAATGGGCAAATGCTAGAGACTAAATGATAATGAAGTCCTAGGGTGACATTTCAGACCGCCCAGGGCCAACTGGGCACACCACTAGTTTCATACTTGACTTTCTATTTCAAAAAATACATACTGAATGATAAAATCTCTGGCCAGTTGAGCTGGGAATAGGTCCAAGGAGTTAATACAGAAACATCATAGCCTAAGTCAGACAAATCCTTTGAAAAATTGCAGCCAATGATTTATTTGCGGAGTGCTGCTTTCCAGTAATAACCATTTTAGTTTTGGATAGTCTTGAAATGCTATCCACATTTAGGCCTATTTTTCAAAGTAGAAGAACTTGCGTTGCCTTCGCAATATAATTTAATGCTGTATTATTATAATACTTTCTGCATTCATATTTATTTGTCCACAGCCACAGACCTAAGCAAT